CTAATGTGAAGATAGTGGACAGCTTTGAGGACAAGAAACTATGAGAGATTTATGCTTACTCTTTTGAGTGCGGAGTTGCGGCGATGAATGGATCCGGCGACTGCACCGACGGTACAGAGAGCGCCGACGAGCGCTGAGGCGCCGGCAAGTAACGTCAGGAGTAGTTGGTGAGCTCCGGCTCCGGCCATCTCACCCATCGCCAACCCAAGTGGTCAGATCCTCGGTGACTGAAGATGGATGCCAGTAACTGTGGGCTGTTGCCATTCGCGATCCAAAAAAAAATTGTTCGGGTGGATCTATTTCCCTGGAAACTGGAAGGGTTGGGTTGCTAGTTGGGCCTAAGCGTCTTAGAAGTAGTAAGCTCGAGTTTAATTTCTAGTACTCTTTTCGTCTCCTTTTAGATCACAATATTTCATTTTTGAGAAAAGTAAAGAAAAATCAAATTATTAAATTTTTCTCCAAATTACCCCAATTAAGGAGGAGTCAAATTATTGCATAGGGTGATGGAAGGGAGGGTAAAATGGCCCAAATAATGTTAAAATTGGAACTTTGTAATTCTTTTTTAGTGTTAAAATTTTAAAATAAATAATATCTAAAAATATATTGTTTTGTACAACCGATATATGATATTCTTCCATGGAAAGAATATATGTCTATGCATGTAAATAGATTCTTTATTAAGTTCTAAATTTAATCAACAATGCACATAATAAAAAAAATTCAATTTTATTAATAAAATTCAAGATACAAATGGATATATATTGATTTTGTGATTCATTGCAATCTCCATCCTATATAAACTAAATCAATCACAATCTCTATTGAAAGTTAACCTTATACTACGTAATAATTAGGAAAAGACTTTGTACATTTTTAACACGTATACAAAAATGGTAATAAAAAATTATAAATAGTAGAGATGATGAACATTAATGCAGCGAAACAAATTTGGGCAGATTCTTCATACCATAGCTTGTATAAACGAAATTAAAAATTAAAATACGTATAGAGTAATTAGAAATTAAAATCTATATACTTTATTTAAAAAGAGGTGAATGTTTTCCCGCTTATACATGAGACTCATATATGGAAAGTGTTGACAACATAAATGATAGTTTAATTATTTGGCCTTATTGTTTTCCTTCTATTTTAAGTATGTTTTCATTTTTATTTAAATGTTACACCGTTTAAATATTTAAATTAAATTAATTTAAATAGTAGTAAAAATGGTAAGTTTTCTAAAATAGATTAGAAAATATATATGGTACGGTAAGTAAATGATAACATTTAAATACAAGAATAAAATAAAAAACTACAAATTAATATTAATACTATAATTTACAAGCATGGAAACATTTTAAAATGACAAGTGTTCTAATTAGAAAATTATAAAATAAATAGGTATGGTACGGTAAGCAATTGGCACCATTTAAAAACGAAAATAAAATAAATGGTAAGTGTTATAAAATAAATTAGGTACGTGTTCTAAAATAAAAGAGAAAATAAAATGCATCTAAAAATGATAAGTTTTCTAAAATAAATTAGAAAATAATGTGGTTTGGTAAGTAATTAGTACAATTTTAATACGAAAATAAATAAAAAAACTGCAAAATTAATATTAATACTACAATTTATAAACATGAAAATGTTTTGAAAAAGGTAAGTGGTCTAATTAGAAATTTAGAAAATAAATACAGTACAGTATGTCACCACGATAAGCAAATGGTACCATTTAAACACAAAAATAAAATAAATAGTAAGTGTTCTAAAATAAATTAGGTAAGTGTTCTAAATAAATTAGAAAATAAAATAAATATCAAAATGGTAAGTGTTCTAAAATATAATAGAGAATAAATACGGTACGGTAAGTAAATGATACCATTTAAATACAAAAATAAAATAGAAAACTGCAAATTTTTACTATCAATTAATACTACAATTTACAAGCATGGAAACATGTTAAAATGGTAAGTGTTATAAAATAAATTTAAAGATAAATATGGTACATTAAGTAAATGGTACCATTCACATGCAAAATTAAAACAATTATAAATTGTAAATTAATAGTATTAATACTATAAGAATGGAAACATGTAACAATGGTAAGTATTCTAAAATTAATACTTAATTCTATAATTTACAAGCATGGATAAGTGTAAAAATGGTAAGTGATCTAAAATAAAATAGAAAATAAATACCATAGGGTAAGTAAATGGTATCATTTAAATACGAAAATAAAACTAAAAAATACAAATTCCAAAATAGATACTCACTCCGTCCCATTTTAAATTGCATGTTTGCCTTTTTTCTTCGTCCCAAAATAAGTTGCATGTTAGTTGTTTTCGTAAATATTTAAAAATAAAATACCTAAACTACCCCTAAAATACGTCACTCTTTTTCACCTTATCTTCTCATTCATCATCACCCCTTCTAAAAAGTAATGACAATTTCGGAAAATCAACTCTATTTTTTATTTTCCTTAAATATGTCCAAAAATCAAAACAGACGATTTAAATTAGGACGGAGAGAGTACATTAATATGTTGAATTATTATTTAAATAAGTCAAATTATTGAATTATTGTCAGGGACAATATCTGAAACATGTTGAATTATTGTTATTACGGAAATCGGTATTTAGTCATGGGCAAGTGTTTGTTGCAGTTTCAAGAGCAATAAATCACAATGAAGTGAATGCTCACACGAATTATACGAGTGATGCATGTAGTTTATAAATAAGTCTTTCGAAATTTGTAAATCATTTTACTTTTGTACTTTAAAATAATGAAATTTCTATATTCAATTACATACCAATTTATATTCCTAAAAATGATCTTAATTTAGTACCGTAACTATGACCCGTGCAACGCACGGGCGTGATACTAGTTTAATCAACAATGCACATAATAAAAGAAATTCAATTTTATTAATAAAATTCAAGATACAAATGGATATATATTGATTTTGTGATTCATTGCAATCTCCATCCTATATAAACTAAATCAATCACAATCTCTATTGAAAGTTAACCTTATACTACGTAATAATTAGGGAAAGGCTTTGTTCACAAACAAAATAATCATAAAATTACTATTTATGAATTTCAATAAAAAAATTAATATGTCTAAAATAATTTTAAAATAAAAATTTAAACCATATATAGTAAATTTGTAAAGTTTGTAACCATTCTATATGTGAACCTAGCATTGCTCTAATAATTACTCCGTATTATGTAGTACTCCGTATTTATTAGACGCTTCATTTTTGTTTAATTTCTTCATTTCATTCATAAAATCTTAGTTAATGCACTATATGTAAGCGAATGTAATTTTTCCATTTCTCCATTATTCAAGATATCACTTAAAATTAATGATTTTTAAACTTTTTACTCCATACTACTTTAAAGTGAAATATATTGAATTTGAATTACTTTCCTTAAATTTTAATCACTTTAATTTTTTCAAATTTTAAATTGAATACTATCAAAAATTATGAATTCAGGTAGAAACAATGTATGTCATCGTTCAATAGAAAACTGTCTAAATATGTATAATACATCTTTTATTATAAATTTAAAGAACAATGCTCACAATAAAGAATATATTTTTTTTAGAATTCTTCTATTTCCTAATAATCAATTTTGGAGAATTTCATAATAATTTTGTATCCAAATTTTTTTAAATAAGAATCTTTGAGTAGTATTCTTTAATATTTCTTTATCGTCATTATATTTTCTTGTGTATGACAAATTTACCATTTAAAAATGAAACTAATTTTAATGAACATTTTGGAGTAAAAATAAAACATGAATATTTGTTTCCAATACCTAAATATATCATTTTAGGTAAGCTAAGGTTTAAGTGTTTGTCACCAAAACAAATATTATTACTGAGGCTGAAGGTTACAAATTATGTGATGTATATTCAATAATGACGAAGCAATAAGGTCACGATTACAACTATTATGTTCATAGCTATAGTCTATAAATTATTATTTTTCATCTCACTGTTTTTTTGATTCACATTGATTATTATTTTTCATCAACTTTTTAATATCAATAAGACAAGTTTTTATATATTAATCTACAGGATAAAATAAGAAAACATCAATATTTTAAATAATATTAAAAAAATATGGACAAAATAGTTACATAGAATGTTTTATTAATCTAAATTTATATATGACCACTTACCTTTCCCTTTATTACTCAATTTTTTCTCATTTTCATTTATTTCAAAATTTAATTTTATTTTTCATTTTTCTAATTTTTAAAAAACATTTTGAAAGTCAAAATAGTTTAGAGAAAAAGATTAAAATAGGAGTAAAACATAATAAAATGTACAAAAATAATAGTTCGATGTCTTTATTCCAAAAATAGGAGTTACAATGAAAATAAAATGTCAATCAGAAAGAAGAAAAGGTTTGATTACATTATGTGACATGTCTGATATTTAAAAACAAAATCTTGTAATATACAAAGTATAATTACGAATATATTATTTTATAATAAATACTGCATAAATAAATTGAGGTGCAACTTCATGCTAACATTATATTATAACTTTTGTCCTGAAAAAGTAATTTTTTGTATGAAAAAATAACAATCCTTTTTTTATCTTAAAGTCATTCATTAAGATAATGTGACAATGATGATGACAACGACGATGATGATGATAATAATGATAATAATAATAATCATAATTTATAATAACAAGAATAATTAGAATAAGAATAATATAAAACACACTAGAAATTAGGTCTATGTTTAGTATAGTTGTCTTCCAGCACTGTTGCCAGAAATCAAACTTAGCTTGACACTTTCTACCTTTACCAACTACCCAACATCAAGAGTGTATATGGTACATCCAGATGTACCTAGAGATAGGTACATCCGGGTAGTACTCTTTCTGAAGTAAAGTAGTGCTGATTCTCGCATCAATATAAGCATCCATTTAGAAAAACCATATTATTCATTCTGAAAAAACGTAGTACTCATTTTCAGACATTCGTAGAATATTCATTTACGAATAACATAATACACATTCTAAAACTTAATAGTACTCATTCCCACTTAGACTAGTGCTCATTCTTCAACTAAGTCCTAACCGCAAATCCGTACAGAATCATCACCTGCCCATCATCATCACCTGCAAAACCCCATCATCATCACAAGTCTTCCTTCTTCTTCTTCATCATCACCGCATCATTGCAGCTTCAATTCTGCAGAATCATCGACAAAACCCCATCATCATCACCGGTCTTCGATCATCATCATCGATCATCATCCCAGATCCGCACAAACTTCCGATTGGCAACCTCCTTCATTGCGGATTTCTTGCGCTTCTTTTCGCCATATTAAACGCCTTGCGCCCAACGTCTACCAACACAACTTTTTAAGTTGTCATTGAGGAGTGAGAGGGCACGATAAAAACATGACTGCTCTTCTTTAAATTTTTTTAATATTGTGAGATGAATTATTTAAAAATGAAAAATGCTAAAGAAAGACATGAAAAGAACGGTCACAATAAGTCACAAACTATTTGTGAACCAACGAAAAAAAATAAATCATCTCAAATACAGAGCAATTGAAAAATGGAAAATTATGTTATTTATCGGTAATGATTTGGCCCCTAAACTCTTCAATTTCTAGATTAATCGCTGAATCTATTATGTTTGGAAAATCAAAGATAATACAGATTTATTTGAGAGTCGTGCAAACACTCTTAAAGAGTACGGAGTATTTGAGAGTGATTAATTTGTGGATAAAGTGATTTCCACAAAAGATTAAAGCAAAAGCACCTAATACCTGCTTCTCTGAAATGATGTTCTATGTACAAAATAGTGGTGGTGAAAAAAAAGTTAACATGTCAAACAAAATAAAACCACTTTCACTCAAAGCAGAAGCTAAATTATTAAAAGCAGCGCACTGCCAAACACCCTCTTAGATTGATTATTTTGAGTGTTCAATCCAAAAAGAACAACAACTACGTACTACTAGTACTATAACAATGATAATAAGAATACTATGTAAATATACTCAAATACAACAACAACAACAACAACAACCCAGTTGGATCCCACTACAGTAGGGTCTGGGGAGGGTGTGTGTACGCAGACCTTGCCCCTACTCGAAAGCAGGGAGGCTGTTTCCAAGAAACCCCCGGCAATGTAAATATACTCAAATAAATTTTTGAAATTTTTTGTAGTTTTTTCTAGTTTTTTCTAATTTCTTCCATGTTTTTTTAGTTTTTCTAAATTTTTAAGTTTCTTCTAGTTTTTTTAAGCTTCTTCGAGTTTCTTCCATTTTTTAAAGTTTCTTCCAATATCTAATTCTTTTTTTCAATCCTAAAGAATAGACTCTAAACATGGAAAAAAAATTACGACTGATTAATTGAATTGAACTATTTTTGCTGTTTAATTTATTCATTAATCATTGTATTCCCTAAATATAGAATAAAAATAAAGTAAATAAAAGAATGCCTAAAAATGGATTTGTCATGTATGGATGCCCCTTGTTCAGATTATAAATACACACTCCGTATGAGATGCTTGAGACCCATAAGTAAAAAAATACTTATAACACTTTCTCATTGTTTTCACATATATAATTTGATAATATTGTAGTACTATTTTATTCATTCACAATAATGGCCAAATATTCAACCATCAACCTCGCATGTTTTCTTGTCTTTGTCCTTGTAGCTTCAGGTAAAACAGTAAATTTTATCATACTCGATATTTTTTTTACTCTTTTCATCTATGAATAAAGTGTACTTCATCCGTTCCAATCCACAAAATCTTTCCGGTTTTGACTTTGAGGAAAAATAAGGAAAGTGTAATTTTGGTTGACTTTCCAATTTTGCCTATAATGTGATGGAAAAAAGTAAGATGTGATAATTTAATTTGGTTATCAGTGAAAAAGTATGATGTGATAGGTAGTGTATGAAAAAGTAGGGGTAAAAGTGGTTTTTAAATAAAAAGTGGAAATGTTTTGTGGAAAGCAAAAAAAAACAAAAGAGAAAGAGTTTTGTGGAACAGATGAAGTAATTAAATAAACATCAATCTTAAATAAACATCAATAATCTCCAATTATTCTTAATTTGTCTTACATATTAATACAACGAAATACTACTCATCTCCGAGAGTATTCATCCAGTTTGACTTTTTCGAGTCAAACTGGATGGACGAACTCTGACCATTAATTAAGTAAAGCATATTCTATTAATATGTAATACAAATTGAGAGTAATTGATAATTAAAGTTTGTTCAAATTGACTTGAAAAAGTCAAACTAGACGAATACGTATCTAGGGGAGTAAAATTCTGGCAATTTTCAACTAAATAAATCTAATTAAATCATTTTTTTACTAATATACATTACGATTTTTATTTAATTGAAGCTTAAAGTTTATATTATTCGATTCGAAAGAGTCAAACCAGACGGATAATGTAAATTCTAAATATAATTACGTGTGTGTATATATGTATTTATACATTCATTATAAATTGATGGAGAGATATTCATAAACTAATTTAAAGGTGACAATTATCAGGGTGCTGTGGTTGGGGGCATGCAAGTCAGGAGAAATTAGGAGGCCATGCAACGCCACCAGCGGATCAAATAAATTATACGGGAGATATTCCATCTTGTTCAACTAATTCCGATTGTGATTCCTATTGTGCCCCTGGTCTTTGCGTCAATAACCAATGCGTTTGTTTCGGGCATTGATCCATGTTTTTGTGGTTATACTAGATTCGACCCCGTGCGTTGCACGACAAGAAATTTAATATTTAAAAATAGTGATTAATTGTCAAGGAATAATTTTAAAGTTCAAGATAATATTTTCTAGGTTATTTTTTAGGGGTAAGTGAACATAATTAGCAGTATGATTTGAAGTATTTCTTCATTACAAATCAATATCTTTGATATTCCTCCATTTGTCATACATAAAACTAAAAAAAATACTCTCTCCATTCGGAAATGTTCTTCCCATTTGATTTTTCACAGTCTCCAATATTGCACTTTGACTTTTAATATCTATATTTATACATAGATATACTTTATAAAAATTTGATATTTGAAAACTACGTTTCATTATGAATATATTGATTTTAAATTTACATTATAATACAATATGTTTTTTCCACAAATCATAGTCAAAGTTTACAAATTTTGACCAAGAAAAATCAAATGTGAAGAACATTTCCGGACAAAGAGTATATTTTACCATGACTGGATATCATTTTTTAAAAGTTGGCCAACGTGAGACAATTATTGATTGTAATAATTGATATTGTCTTCTCAAAAATTTAAATGAATTTCTTGTACTCCCTCCCTTCGTCCAGAAATATTCTTCTCATTTGACTTTTCTTGGTCAAAGTTTATAAACTTTGACTACGATATATGGAAAAACTACATTGTATCACGATATAACTTTAATATGAATATATTCCTTTTGATATATTGTTTTCAAATATCAAATTTTTATAAATTATATCTATGTATAAATAAAGATATTAGTGATCAAAATGCAATCTTAGAGATCGTAAAAAGTCAAATGGGAAGAAAATTTCCGGATGGAAGGAGTATCTAGATGAGTTAACATAAAGAAAGTCTTGAAATAACAACTTTGTCCCCTATAATAATTTAGTCAAATTAATTTTTTATAATAAAGCAAGATACTATATTAAACCTTACAACTCTACCTAGTATGGAGTACTCCGATCCCCGTATATCTCTCCCAATTTAAACCTACCAATTAATCATGCCACCCATCCTTTAAACAATACGGAGTATTCAATACGCAGCACCTACTCACCGACTTACCACCTCTCAAACTTTATCTTATTGTGATAGATAAATCGTCGGTTGGTATATTGCTAAATGGCACCGGTAGACCGCCGATTGTGTCCGTCTGTCACCTTATCCAACAGAAAAGTCGTGGTTGGTGGCTAGAGACTATCTTTTTTGCATTCTTCCACTCGATAATACTAAATTTCTTCTTAGATCTGGGATTTTCAGGTTTATATACCGTTTTTTCTTTATTTTTCTGGGTTTGTTCTTAGATTTGGGTTTTATCGTTTATATACTCCTTTTTTCTTGAACCAACTTATTATCTGGTGTTTCTTCGTGGGTCTGAAGTGTATACGCTCTTACATATGTTCTGAAATCTGTATTTGGGAGTTTTTGATAATTTTGCTTAAAAATCCTCTAAAAGTTCATCCATCTATTTTTATTTGACTTCACCTTATTTTAATCTGTAGATTAACATGCATTTTCAATTTTTAGCTTCTGAAATATGTTATTTTTTCAAAACTAAGTTTGCAAATCAAGATTAGATCTCCAATGTGAATATGTCGAAAATGGTTGTTTGTAGTGCTAATAAAAATTTTCATGTTTATTATATATTACTTTCAAAAATTATTAAATATTGAAAACAATCTTCCCATGTACTGTTACATTAGCCAACCAAATTGAATATGTTAGTATGTCTTGCATTCGGTGTTAATTTGCAGTTCTTCATCATGAGATTAGGCATTTTAATGTTACGCAGTACAAACTCAATTTCTTAAAGAAAATGGTTTGCCAGCCTGCTAGATCATGTGTGTGTATCACCATTGTTTTCACTGTTTTTATCATGTCATCATGCTCATTTTCATTTTTATCATTTTCAATCTTTGAGTCTGTTGTGTTCAATCCTTGTGTAGTTTGCAATATTGAAAACAATATTGTAGAAAAATGTATAAAAATTTATTACAAAGAGAAAGAACAAAAAATAGTGTATAAAAGAGGAAGAATTTTCTAACCTTGGAGGCCGCTTATTAAGTTTCAATTGTTCTCCAATTGAGTTTGAAAATCTAATATGGAGTATTTCAGTGTATTTATAGTGTGAATTTTGTAATAGCTACAGTGCATATATTGCTGCCCATTGCACTGTTTATATAGCTGGACATGTAGGGACGGCTCTAGATATAATAAATGCTGAGTGGACTTCTATTACTCCAGCGCGTGGCTCCATAAGAGATTTTGTTTCTGACCCAGCCTGCAATTCAAGCTACCCTAGATATGCCTAATTAAACAGCCAGCCCAATACAGTCAGCCCAAATTTCAGTGACCCGGCCCAATAAATTTAGGCGGGAATACTGTAGAAAACCACATCTTACCATTGTATATGGTAAGATTATTGCAATGTAATGTCCTCAACTTATTTATTGAGTGACTTTCTTATAGTAATAATAAAAATGACAAAATAATATTACCCCGGCCTTTTGTTCTCTAATTTTGTTCCTCTTTTCATGTTTTTAATTTGTTGGCATAAAATTGCGTTCAATCTCATTTTTTCCAAATTTTGAATGTAAAGTCAAATAAATTCGGGTCACCGTACGACCTTCGGATCATTCCGTATTTCATGACATTGCTTAGATAATTTAAATATAACGAAAAACTAGCTCACTCATATGTACTAAAGGGATCTTGATCTCAAGCTCTTACTGGTAGCATCATTTATTTTATTTTGCGAAATTTTCAATAGGCCAAAATAAGACATACTTTGGCATGAATGTTGCATATTCATTCTAAAAAGGATTGAAAACTTTTAGGGCTAAATGACTTCTCCATATAACCCAAAACATAATCAGGAGCTCCTGCTAGGGGGGGACCCATCATGGGTTTCGACCAATTCCTCAAATATAACAATAAAAACTTGATTAAATTTGGCTACAATATTATTCCATATTGAATTTAAAAACATATGGACAAAGTTGAGAGCACCAAATGACACTACTATGGAACCGCTAGACTTAATTCTACTTTTTGGACTCAAATGGAGCAAAAATCGACTACATTGGGCTTTTCAATATATTTTAAGTGATCATAAATAATTTGAGATGGATAAAGTAAATTATTACGAGCCAATATACGTGTAAAACATACTCCCTCCGTTTGGAAAAAGTGTTTCTATTTTGACTTTGTGTAAAAATAAAGAAGTATTAAATTGTAATTGACTTCCAATTTTGCCCTTGATGTGATAGGTAAAAGTAAGATGTGATGGATAGATTATTAGAGATAAAGTATGATGTGATAGGTAGGGTATGAAAAAGTAAGGGTAAAAGTGGTTTTTTAATAGAAAGTGGAAGTGTTTTGTTGGAAGTGAAAAAAAAAAAGAGGAAGTGTTTTAAAAAACGGAGGGAGCAACATTTATTCTTTAAAAAAAAGTTTTATGTTTTTATTTTTAAAATAAGAGTTTGTATTGTGATATTATGATATTATTGAAAATGTTATAGTGATTCTAGTCACAGGAGGAAGTGCTCTCTCTGAACAATTCTCGTCAACCACACACACTCCGATTGTTGTGATAAGCAAAGTGCTAAAACACTCCCTCTGTCACAACCAGTCACACGCAGCAAGAGAAATAAAAAATAGTAAAACAGACACAAGAATTGTTTACGCTGTTCGGAGCAATTCTCCTACTCTGCGGGGCCCACGTCCGTGTAATAGCCCATCCACTAAATCACTGCAAAGATTACAACTTCAACCACCGTAGGTACCAATCAGTGGATTGAACTAATCTACTACAGATGACTTAAACACATAACTCTGTTAGTGTTTCTCCCAATGGCATATTACACCAACCTTGATAACTTCTTGTTATTGGACGTGCTGACAGCCCTTTCTCCAGCCCTTCTTAGTTCATTAGCTGGATGTGGTTTTCATCAAAACCAATCATGGATCTGCAATATGATCTGCGAACAGGCCACAAACTTCTTGTGCTCACAACAACACCGTATATCAGAAAGAACCAAACATGGTTCTCTTCTGATCTCCTTTTGCAACTAGGGTTTATGGCTCTCTCAATCTCTCGCTGGAAGTATGTTTATTCTCCCTACCTTCTATATGAGATCATGTGTGTATATATATGTGTGAGCACGGGAAAACCCTAGTCATGATCATACTTGAACTCTCCAGCAAATCTTATTCCCGGTCTGCATGGGACTCTGGACAGCTTCGCAGGAATCCCTTCTCAGGAGGAAGTCTTCTCCAGCTCGTAGGAATAGACTCTAAACCCAAACATGACACAGCAGGACTCTACATCCAATCAGCTAAAAAGAACAAATAAACATTCCTACTTATTTGTTTTTGTCACAAGGATAAGGCCAACAAAGAATAAACAAAATAATCACTATGTCTCCCCCTTTGGCCATCCTTTTGGACAAAAACAAATACACTAGACCCTCTGGCCTGTTGAACCTCTTCTCCCCCTTTTTTGTTCAAAAATGAGCCAAAGTTTATTAAAAGGTAATTGGGAATAGAGAAGAGTAATATTCAACACTTGAGCAAGAGGAGTACAAAAACTCACTAGAACACCTATCTCTTAAGCTGAAGGATGTACCTACACCATGTCATAGAGATGCACAAGAATATTGAAAGGAAACTTGTAGATGACCAAAAGCGAGCACAGATGTAGATAAATAAGACCAAGTTTGAACCATTCAAAAAATAGCAGTCATAGTAAAAGAACCAGCAGTGCGATATGTCTTCAAACCAGTAACATGGAATAACAACCCAACCAAAATTAATGTCAAATTGAAGCTTGTAAAGAGTTTATCGAAAAGATTTTCCCTCAGGCTGAGGAATCTGTAGCAGTGTCTTCCTCCTCCTCTGAACTCTCCCCCTGAAATGATGTACCTTCTGCTTGAACACTCTGTGCAGCATTCTCTTGCAACCATATGAGACTTCGCCGCTCTTCTTCAAGAACTTTCTTCTGTTGTTTTGCTGTAGTTTATGTTCCAGATACTTGAGTACACCAAGCACTCCATGTGTTGCATGATCAGCTACCTTCATGTCATTGAAATGCTTTCAATCAAAATGTCGGTTATCAATCTGCAGTAGTGGCTCCAAGGGCTCCTCTTGTTCACCATCCTTCTTGTTAAAACCCTGTGAGACAAGCATCTAGAAGATTAGGACAGGAAAGGGCAGACCATTATCATTGTGCTTATAGTTGTGTTTCCCAAACTCAGCTATTTGAGCAACTATCAGCTTTCCTAGGTTAATAGGAACATTGTTTTTGATCTTGCACAAAAGCATGCCCATGGTTTTTGTCACCGTGTTGGTATGAGAGGTGGCTAGCCAGTGACACGCAGCAACTCTGAGCAAGATAGAGTAGGAGCTATTCAGGATTGATGAGGGAACTTTGTTGGAGGGGTGTTGGCTTTTCCTGGTTCCGTGAGTGAGTTCCTTCCACATTGTGACCTCACTTACCAGTGCATCCTGATCATCATCTAATCCCAAAAACTTGTTGACAGCAGTAGACGAAAAGGTGTATAGTTTTCCTCTGACAAACACTTTTTCAAAAGACACAGCAGCAGGGTTCACAAAATCTTCACTCAAATTGCAATAGAACTCATAGATGACTTGTTTGACATATGAACCAGGGAGGGTAACTGATTTCAACAAGTTCCTGGCATCTAACAGAGGAATGAGAGTGGTTTTCAAAGCAAAATCTTCCAAATCAATATTACGCTGGGGCAGAATGTTCTTCTTCATAATTGCAGGCAAATAAGATTTAGCAGCAGTAGTGACAAAAATATGAGTTGAGGACTTCCCTGAGTGATGATTCAGATCTTTACCCCTTTTTGACTTTGACATTTTGGATGGACTTGGAGAGCTTGTTCTGGTCTTCTTGGTTGATGGAGGAGACTCTTCTTTCATGACTGCCTCAGATCTGGTTTTCCGTTTTGACCAACGAACGTGATTTTGCCCTTTTGCCTTCTTTTTGGAGCTGCGAGGGGTGCGGTCTTGAGTTTCAGTCTTCTTGAATGGTACTTCAGACACTGCTAGAAGTGGTTCTTCATCCAGTAAGGTTTGGAATTCTTCATCTACCTCTGCATGTTGGTGTTGTTCCTCGAGGGGTGTTGTTGTTTTGTATTCTAGCAACATGATGGTAGGAGGATCTGGATGGAGTGGTGCTTCATCTTGCTCTTTGTTTAACAGGTCTCCATTTTTCGGTGCTTTTTGAACTTCTTCATGCTCCATGCCAGTCTCACTTTCTGGATTTTGTTTCAAGGAGGATGAACCTTCATCAGTTTGTGAGATTTTCGCCCGCAGATTTGCCCTAGCTTGAGCAAACTTTTGAATGAGACTTACTCTTTTCTTCGTTGCATGCACATTCTTCCACTTCTGAGGGACTGCGATCTTGGTTCGCACCATTTCTTGATGTTCTCTTGAGAGATTTCTGTAAACTTTGAGATTTGGGGAAGAATGACGAAGGAGACGAGGCTTTTGGATTTTGTATGGCCTTTTTTTTTGAAATTCAATCTTTTGGGTCTCTTCGATTTTGGTGACACAGCGCCGTATACAGATAGGCGTGCTGCATGTGCAATTTCTGTCTTTTAATATCTCCACGTGTGCACTTATAACTAGATGTGTCACCTTTTTACAAATTACCCCATCAGTAAGGAGCACATAGACCCAATTTTGATCTGAGTGTTTCGAACCTATCACCATCAAGTGCTTTGGTGAATATATCAGCGAGTTGCTCTTCTGTGGACACGTGTTCTAAACTCAAAATTTTTTTCTCAACAAGTTCCCGTATAAAGTGATGCTTGATGTCAATGTGTTTGGTTCGGGAGTGCAGTACTGGATTCTTTGATATACTGATGGCACTTGTATTGTCACAGTACAGAGGAATGGTGTCATGGTCCACACCGTAGTCACTGAGTATGGTTTTCATCCATAATAGTTATGCACAGCAACTGGCTGCCGCTATTGATAAGTCCGTTTTGTACGCACTTATCTTCTCTATATTTAATGTGTTGTGGTCCAATTTTGGATTAAACAAATCAATTTCTCAATGGTTTTTATATCTTTTATTCATAATTGCAAAAGTGTACAAAAGTTATGTCTAGCTTTAAAAAGAATAAAAATTGAGTCAAAAGTGGTACAAAAAGTGTAAAAGATTGTGCAAATGGAATACAACGAAGCAAGGAGGCAAAAGATGGCGAAAATCCATGAAGTGAAAAATGTGCATTCAAATGTGGTGATGCGCCCCGTCGAAAGATTTGAGGTCAAACGGATTGAAAAAGCACAAAAAAGAAATTGTTTGGAAAGAAAAAGATTGAATTGATTCAAAATTAATTCGTTTGACCCAAATTGGTTCGGAATTTGAAGTCAGCACAGAAGAAAAAGTTGTTCAGAATAAAATTTTGAGCAAGATTGTATTTTTAGAAAATATTTCCAGACCGGATTAAAATCCGGTCAACCAGGTGCTGCCACGTGGCGCAACCTGGCTGGCCGACCAACTGTGGCAGCAGCAGCAAAGATAAGAAATTCTAGTGGGCTGGCCGTCATCACCATAATCATATAAAAAATTGAAGGAAAGGAATGACGCATCAGTGCATGAAGAAACAAAAAAAATAATACTCGGATATCCTAAATCAGCAGCCATGCGCACTAACTCCTCAAGCGCGCGCCTGGACCTCAGGCCCACGCCTGTCAGAGACCTGGACCGAAATTTTCTCCTATAAAAGGAGGGCTTCGCCCCTTCATTTAAATCAAGCCTTCTTCCGGGTCTTTAAGACCCGAAACTCCATTCTCCGCTCCCGTTCTCAGTTATATTTTAATATTTTAGTTTAGTTTTTTTCTGGTTGTCCCAAAGTGGCTCCAACTCTGCCATCTGTTGTAAGTTTTAATACTTGCAATTTTAATAAAATGTTCTTTTCTTTTATGTTCTGTTAATATCTAGTATGAGTTAGGACCCAGATTAGGGTCTTGGCTAAATTTGGGCATATACTATGTATGTTTATTTAATAGTTGGAATAATTGTTTTAGAATTATTTTTATTGTTAAATTAATTAGTTATGTCGAGAGAAAAATTAATTAATTATTGGAAATTAGTTTTTGCCTTGTCTATGAGGATATAAAATTAATTAAGCCAAACTTTTTTAGAATACATTAATGTTGCCTTGAGAGAGGATAAGTTAATGAAATATTTGTGACAGAAATATTGTTATTCCAATTATTGATTAAATATGTGACAACAGTAGTTAACTCAGATGATGCCTTGACTCGAAGTCTAGTCCTATACCCGTATTATTTATTTTCTTTTTCTCAAAAGCATCCAGTAGTTTATTTTATTATTATTTTCAAATCAAATCGAGAAAACTTTCAGACCCGTCCTAACCTTCGTCTAGTTAGAAAAATTAGCTAATTCCCTTCGTCCACTCCTCGAGAGACACGACACTCGGAGAAAACTAACCCTTCATTGGGAAAGTTGACTTACCCACAAACTCAACCATCAGCTATGCATTCTGCTTCTACCGTGGAAAGTGACACAGAGTTCTGTTTCTTGCTCAACCATGCTACAAGATTTCCTCCTAGAAAGAAGCACCCTCCTGATGTGCTTTTTCTGTCGTCTATATTACCTGCCCAGTCTGCATCACTATAGGCCATAAGCTCTGCCATTCCTCCTTTTGAATACCATAAACCCATGTTTTGAGTGCCTTTGACATATTTTAGTATTCTTTTGGCGGCTTTGAGATGTGACTCCTTGGGATTGGCCTGATATCTAGCGCACACTCCAACACTGTAAGATAGATCTGGTCTACTTGCTGTTAGATATAGTAGACTCCCTATGATGCCTCTGTAGCGTGTAGCATCAATCTCCTTCCCATTGTCATCCCTGCTGATTTTCTCGTGTGTTGGACATGGTGTTCTAGCACTCTTACTGTCACTCATCTCAAATTTCTTCAACATGTTCTATGCATATTTGGTCTGAGATACGAATATTCCTTCATCAGTTTGTTTTATTTGTAACCCCAGGAAGAAGGTCAATTCGCCTATCATGCTCATCTCAAACTCTTTTTCCATCACGTTTACAAATTCATCAGCCTTTGCTTTGGAGGTGGATCCAAACACAATGTCATCCACATAAATCTGTGCAACCAGTAAATCAGATTTGTGCCATATAAACATGGTATTGTCTGCTCCCCCTCTCTTATATCCTTCCTTGATTAGATAGGAAGTTAACCGTTCGTACCATGCCCTAGGTGCCTGCTTCAGCCCATATAGAGCCTTGTGTAGTTTGTAAACGTAGTCTGGGTGCTTGGAATCTTCGAATCCTTTTGGTTGTGACGCATACACTTCTTCCTTTAGGTATCCATTCAGAAATGCAGTCTTGACATCCATTTGATATAATTTCATGTCTAGTATGCAGGCCATGCTTATGAGCATGCGTATTGATTCAAGGCAAGCCACTGGTGCAAAAGTTTCCTCAAAGTCAATCCCCTCTATCTGTGTGTATCCTTGGGCAACCAAGCGAGGCTTGTTTCTGATGACATTTCCTGCTTCATCTGTTTTGTTTCGATATATCCACTTCGTGCCAATGATGTTTGTGTTCTCTGGTTTAGGAACCAGTTCCCAGACTTTATTTCTTTCAAACTGCTCTAGCTCCTCATGCATGGTGTTTATCCATGCTTCTTCTGTCAGTGCTTCTTTGATGTTTTTGGGCTCCAAGGATGATGTATAGTAAGCTTTTGTCATCTCTAGGAAGTCAATCTTCTTTTTCCGTGTCTTCATCCCTTCGGTGGGTGACCCTATGATGTTTTCTGGAGGGTGGTTCTTCTGAATGTGTGTGGGAACACTGGTTATGGGGCAATCAGTTTGGATCTCTGGAGAATCACCTTTCTCAATTTCTTCATCCCCAGTGTCTTCTTCTAGCATTTTCTCAGAGATATCCACCTCTAGTGAGTCATCTGTTGCCTTGTGCTGGAGCTGGTCATCTACCACAACATTTATTGACTCCATTATAGTTCTTTTTCGTTTGTTGTATACTCAATTAGCCTTTCTGTTTGGTGAGTATCCAACAAAAATAGCCTCATCGCTCTTTGGCTCAAACTTCCCTTTCTGCTCCCGGTCTCTTAGGATGTAACACCTTGCCCCGAAAATGTGAAAGTGGGCTATGCTTGGTGTTCTCCCTTTCCACAGTTCATAGGGTGTAGCCATTGTTCCACTCCTAAAGTATACACGATTGATGGTGTAACATGCTGTATGAACTGCTTCAGCCCACAAATTTTGTGGTAGTCCATATGTGCTGATCATTGTGCGTGCCATTTCTTGAACATGTCGATTTTTCCTTTCTGCCACCCCGTTTTGTTGTGGAGTTTTTGGTGCTGAGAATTCATGCCAGATGCCATGCAGATCACAAAATTCTTCGAAAGGCCCATTGTCAAACTCCCCTCCATGGTCACTGAGTACTCTGATGACCATCTCTCATTCTAGACCTTGTTGCATAGCGCTTCAAAGGCATTTAGTGCATCATATTTGTGTTTTAAAAAACTGACCCACGTATACCTTGTGAAGTCATCCACGACCATGAGGACAAATCTTTTCCCGCCTAGGCTTTCAGTTTGCATGGGGCCGAACAGATCAATATGCATGAGCTCCAAAGGACGACTTATTGACCTCGTAGGTTTCTTAGGATGGCTTGCTCATGTTTGTTTCCCCATTTGACATGGTCCACATACTTGATCATTAACTTGAGTGATTTTGGGCATCCCTCGAACTGCTCCAGAGCCAGACAAGGTCTTAAGGTCCTTGTAGTTCATATGTCCAAGTCTATAGTGCCATAATTTTGCATCCCTCTCACTGGCTGTGTAGCAAAGTATATTTGGAGTGACTCTGTAACAATTGTCTATGGTTCTGTCACCTTCCAAGACAACAAATTTGTTTCTGTCCTTGATGCGGCACTTTTGTTGAGTGAATACCACTTCCAGTCCTTGGTCACAGATTTGACTAATGCTTAGCAGATTTACCTCTAGTCCTTGGACCAGCCATACATTTTTGATTGGTGGTAGCCCTGAGACATGCAGTGTTCCATTCCCAATGATCTGTCCATGTGCACCGCCACCAAAACGTACATTTCCTCCTTCTATTGGTTGAATGTTTGATAAGTTCTGTTTATCTCCAGTCATGTGATGTGAACACCCACTATCAAGCAGCCATTGGTCTGGTGTGACTCTAAGACATGAGTTGGCGCTTGAGGCCATGTGTTTTGGTATCATCTTCATTACAGTTCTAGTGAGACCTTTTGTCGTACCCTTCTTCCTTCTTCTGTACTTCAGTTGGTGGCACTGTCTTTTGATGTGTCCTTTTTTCCTGCAGTAGAAACAAATATGATTCCAGTAATAGTTAGAGGGAGAGCGTTTTCTTATATGAATGTGAGTAGGTTGGACTGCTTCCTTCTTGTCTCTGTTGTATTCTTTCAGTTCTTCAGCAGCAATCTTTGATCTTGTTACAAACAAATCAAGGGGTGTTTTGCTGCTCTCTGGTAGAGTATGACCAATGCCAGTTTGTCTCCATAGAACCTTGACTTGTCTACGAGGTCTTCAATCTGTTCTGCACATGTACTCTTCATCCACTTTTGATAGCTTTTAAGTTGAGTGAGTTCATAGTTTAGATTTGCCTTTTCACCTTCAACCTGTTCTAGTTGCTGCATGGTTTCATCAAGCTTTTTACGAAGGCTATCCAACTCTTCCTGCAGCACCACAAGTCGGTTAGTGAGACTGTCTGGATCTTCATTATGTGTTTGAGTAGTGAATGCACAGTTGCTGTTCCCTCGGACTTCTTCAGAGTCATCTTCTTCATCGCTCCATGTTGACACAAAAGCTTGCCGTTTCTTTTTGAGATTATTTGCACATTCTGATTGTATATGCCCAAACCCCCCACATTAAAAGCATTGAGGTCCTCTTCGTTTGGAGTCATCAGCTGGGGCCTTGCTCTCCTTTGACCTTGGATTTCTAAATTGAAACCCCTTTGAAGATTCAGCTTGATAATTTGTTCTTCCTTTCTTTTGCATCCATTGCTTCTTGAACTGCTTGGTGATGAGGGATAACTGTTCTTGATAATCTCCATCTGATGGATCCTCATCATCATCATATTCTTCAGTATTGTGGCTGTGGAATGCAATCTGTTTGACACTCTTCTTCTAGTTAATTTCTTCGTTCATTTGAAGCTCAATGGTCTCAAGATTACCCATTAGCTGATCAAGTGTCATGTTCTTTATGTCATGTGCTTGGCGAATAGCTTTGGCATCCATTGCATAGCTCTCGGGTAAGGCTCTCAGTACCTTCAACACTAGACTATCTTCTGTGAAAGGCCTTTTCAGATTTTCAGCCTCATTTGCTAGTTCTCTTACTCTCCCATGAAATTCTGCTATTTTTTCTTTATCATCCATACGCAAATTCTCATATTTGGTCATAAGAATCTGTAGTTTAGCAGTTTTTACTCGTTCATCTCCTTCGTGAGTGGTTTCGAGGATCTCCCAGGCCTTCTTTGCTTCAGTGCAATTCGAAATGAGTCTATACTGTGAGCTATCAACTGCCCCAAATAGTGCATTTAGTGCCTTATCATTGCATTCAGCCAGTGTTGCTTCTTCCTTTGAGTATTTCTCAAAGGATTTTGCCACCTTCTCTCCTTCTGTGTTGGTCTCTGTGGGTTCTGTCCATCCAGTTTCTATGCTTCTCCAAACTCTCCCACCTTGGGACTTTAAGAAAGCACTCATGCGCCCCTTCCAAAAATTGTAATTTGGTCCACACAACAGTGGTGGTCGTTGAACATTTGCACCTTCCTCCATGTCCCCCATGATGGATCAAGCTAGTAACTTAAGCTTAACTGCTCTGATACCAATTGAAAATGTTATAGTGATTCTAGTCACAAGAGGAAGTGCTCTCTGTGAACAATTCTCGTCAACCACACACACACTCCGATTGCTGTGATAAGCAAAGTGCTAAAACACTCCCTCTGTCACAACCAGTCACACGCAGCAAGAGAAATAAAAAACAGTAAAACAGACACAAGAATTGTTTACGCAGTTCAGAGCAATTCTCCTACTCTGCGGGGCCCACGTCCGTGTAATAGCCCATCCACTAAATCACTGCAAAGATTACAACTTCAACCACCGTAGGTACCAATCAGTGGATTGAACTAATCTACTACAGATGACTACTTAAACACATAACTCTGTTAGTGTTTCTCCCAATGGCATATTACACCAACCTTAATAACTTCTTGTTATTGGACGTGCTGACAGTCCTTTCTCCAGCCCTTCTTAGTTCATTAGCTGGATGTGGTTTTCATCAAAACCAATCATGGATCTGCAATATGATCTGCGAACAGGCCACAAACTTCTTGTGCTCACAACAGCACCGTATATCAGAAAGAACCAAACATGGTTCTCTTCTGATCTCCTTTTGCAGCTAGGGTTTATGGCTCTCTCAATCTCTCGCTGGAAGTATGTCTATTCTCCTTACCTTCTGTATGAGATCATGTGCATATATATATGTGTGAGCACGGGAAAACCCTAGTCATGATCATACTTAAACTCTCTAGCAAATCTTATTCCCGGTCTGCATGGGACTCTGGACAGCTTCGCAGGAATCCCTTCTCAAGAGGAAGTCTTCTCCAGCTCGTAGGAATAGACTCTAAACCCAAACATGACACAGCAGGACTCTACATCCAATCAGCTAAAAAGAACAAATAAACATTCCTACTTATTTGTTTTTGTCACAAGGATAAGGCCAACAAAGAATAAACAAAATAATCACTAGGTCTCCCCCTTAGTAACTAACCCAAATAACTAACAATTATATGATTGCATTGCATCCCAATTCATTTTTTAGTATTATATACTTCGAGTATATTAGTATTGTACTCGATCTTACTCTAGAACAAAAATATAAAACTTTTAATCTAAAACTTTTGTAAATTTAATTCTTTTTCATAAAGAATGGGTAAATAGGAGACAAACCGTTTACTAGTTTCAAGAAGAATGTATAAAAAAATCCAAGTATTAAGAGCAGTGGCAGTGGCTAGGGGTTTGGCTGCCATGCCACGCCACCTCAGCCTAAAGCTCTAGTTTTTTCTTTTTGGCTTGCAAGTCATCTTCATTTTGTCATGCACTCCATGTCTTAAGCGTGACATTCCATATCCCTTTTTTTATTTTTTTTAATAAAAATAAGCATTTTTTGTAAGAAAGTAGAATTTTATTAATGATAAAATAAATTGAAAAAGTACTTTTTAATAATTAAAACATATCAAAAATGTAATAAGTGATAGTAACAATCACTTGTTATTGTAAAATTTGTTACTCCACTCCTGTACTGCTATCTGACTAAATAATTTTTTATTGATTGAAATCTGTCACGTGGAGATTCAATTTTTACCTCATATCCATGCTCTAACAGTAAAGTCCGGCCAGGTCACCCATTCCCCCCTCCCCCGACAGATCCCCAAATTACGGACTCACGATTAAGGGCGCACCCACCCACGGTTTTGGGGACTTCCCTTTGTCCCTCTCTCCCCAAACCACTGGCTCTCCTTACTTTACCCTCCCCCCGTTTCAATCAATTAATTAAATAAACAAAAATAGTTCTCAGACTCTCACACACTCAACCCAAAATTATGTTCACTCATTAACTTTTTCGCAATTTCTAGAAACGTTAAGAAATGAAAAAAAAACGATAATTTACCTAGATATAACTAAAATATAATGACTTTCTCAATATAGGATTATATATTTTTATTTCTCAATGTAAGACCATTGGTCATTCATTATCTATTAGTCATTATTCAACTAAATGTCCAGCATCATTTGTACATTATTTTTCTCAATAGTCATTATTAAGTCTTATTTAGGGAATAAAAAAGTTTAAGTCCTATATAGGAAATGACTTATGTTTTAGTCCTATTTAGTGTAAATTTCACATGAAAAAATGCTCCCTCTATCCCATTTAAACTTTTCGAGTTCACATTAGAATGTTTGAATAACTTTATTTATTAATTTAATTTTGATAGTATATTTTAAAAATAATAATTGTGTATTTAAAAATTACATTAAAATTTAATATCTACAAAATACTTGATATGGCATGATTATTTTTTTTACCTAATGAGTAACGAAAATAAAGAAATAAAATATATGAAATTTAATTTTGTGAATGATGTATGGAAAGATTCAAGTGGAACGGAGGGAATACTCTGAAAAGACTAAGGGGCTGTTTGGCAACTTCAGAATAGGTAAGTGCTGAACCAGTAAGAGGTCTGAACTATTAAGTGCTAATATATTGCTTAACTATTCAGAAGCAAATGTTTGATCAATTCAGATAAGAGGTCTTAACCATTCAGACTCTGTATAATACTTAACCATTCAGAGGTAAATATCTGAACCATTCAGACATCTGCTCACGAAACAAATAATCTGAACCATTAAGTGCTGAACCATTCAGACATTTGAACCATTAAGAGGCTGAAACAAACAGCCCTTAACACTAAAGTCTATCTTCAAATAACCTTTTCAAAATATTAATGCTAATCTTTAACGATGATGCCAAACAGGGTCTCAGTCTCAATATATTTTTCAATTTGACATTATCAATCAAACTATATGAACTTTAGTAATCAAGAATGTGTATATTCTTGTGAAGTATTCTGCAATTTTAATACTTGCCTCCAGAATAAATTTGGATAACACAAATTTTATATTCGGTGTTTCTTAATTCATGCAAAATAATGAAAATATACGTACTTAGGTCCGAGAGAATGTTTCTCGAACTAATTTGTGCCCTTGTATTTTTTAGAGAACACATACTCCATACAAACATTCCTGCGTATGTCAAGTGCACTTATTTTTGTGAGATTTGCATTAAATGGTACTCCCTCAGTCTCATAAAACATTTTTTGTTTAAAAAATGGCACACCTTTAAAATGAGTAATTTTAGTGTTGTTTTTAATTATGACTAATCTATTCTACACATCTCATTCTACTCTTTTAAAAAGTAAGGGCAAAATTAGAAAATAACACCAAAATTACTCATTTTAAAGGCGTGCTATTTTTGAAACAGAAAATGTTTTATGAGACGGAGAGAGTATTAAAATATGTATCCTTTCTATGTACTACTTCCTTTCTTTTAAACGTTCTTCCCAACTTATATTCAAATTTTAATCACTTTCTTTGTCTTTTTTCGTTAGTTATTTGATAAAATAATAATCTTGTCACTTTTAATTTGTAGAACTTTTGACAGATTTTTTAAATCCATAAATTTTTATTTTTTTAATTTTACACCTACATAAAGAAAATTGAATTGAAAATAAAGTCGGTCAAACCTCGTAAACGGAAACGGGAAGAACATTTTAGGACGGAGAGAGTAAAACATATGTCACTTAGGAGAGGTAAATTGGATTTTAATTGTAGATTGATGATAGAAAGTAAAGTCTACACTTGATATTTGCAGAAACATTATGCTTAAAATAGTTATCTTCCAACGCAGTTCTCAAAAATAAAAATTGAATCTATTTCTTTAAAATTCTAAATCTTTGCTAAATGCAAAACACCCGGCGGCTAGTGACAAAATATTAGAGTTACTAGGTGGTGTAGCAAAATCGAAATAGTCAGTAATTTCTTGAATCACACCAACCAATGCAACCACATTAAAACAAAGGGAGTGGGGCGCTGGTAATGCTACAAAACCATCAAATGTTGTTTGGTTTCACTGAAAAGTTCCCCTATATATACACCTAGTTATTTCTTTTTTCCACTATCATACCAACATTATCCAAACACTTCCCTCCCATCTCCAAAACCTTCCAAAAAAATCTTCATTCAACTTTAATTTTCACCAACAATGGCATCCCTCGATCAGTTGGCCATGGCTAAGCGTTGCTCTCATGGTATATTCTTCCTTCTTTTAAATCATTCAATTATATTTATTTAATAGTGATTAAAATTGGGGTCATTTTTATTTGCAAAAGTCATACTTGGAGGTAGGTAGTAATTTGTACTCTCTATTATTTTCACATTTTAATTCTTTCTTAAAAGAAATTACTAAAAATCAAGTAAAAATGGTACCCCTTCCGTCCGGAAATATTCTTCCCATTTTCCTTTTTAGTCCGTCCGGAAATATTCTTCTCATTTTCTTTTTTAGTATGCTTTTTAAGGCTAAATATCAATTATACCCTTCTATTTTATCACAAATCTACTTTTTTAATAATAAAAGGATATTTAAAAGTTTATGGTAAGTGCATTTTTGAAAATTTTGCATTTTTTTTACTATTCCTTAATAAGCGTGCCAAGTCAACACAGGAAGAAAATTTCCGGACGGAGGGAGTAATAAATAGCACGCACTAAAACATAAAATAACATCTAGTGGCAAAAGAACAATATCCATTGATGGTAGAATTTTGTTTAAATAATGTCTATTCGATCTTAGATCTTGAACAGTGGTACTAAATTTGAAAATAAAAATATTTAATACTAAATTGAGAAAGTGATTATGTTTTAATACTATTTAGATAAATTTCTTGAAATTCAAATGGTACTTATATGAAAATTCAATACCGTACAAAGTTAATTTTTAGAGGGAGTGAACTATATTGGTATATACATTAACATTTTATTGAATCTTTTTGTAAGTGCAGAGGGAGTGGTCGCCGGAGCAAAAGCAGCGGTGGTGGCCACCATCGCGACGGCGATCCCAACAATGGCAAGCGTGAGAGTGCTGCCGTGGGCCAGGGCCCACTTGAACCCCACGGCGCAGGCGCTCATCATCTCCACCGCCGCCGGGATGGCTTACTTCATCGTCGCCGACAAGACTATCCTCGCCACCGCCCGCCGCAACTCCTTCGGAAACCGGTCCGCCTGAACGGCCGCCCGCTCTCCGGTGGTCCCTCCGGTGCCCGTGGAAGAAATGTGATGGTCCAACCAGGCAAAACCAACCAGTGTTAATAAAATAATGGTGTCATGTAGTAGTATAAAATGAACAAGCTAAGGAGTTGGCTTGGCTTTGTTACCTGTGTGCAAGTAGTCTTTCTTAGAGCAAATATATATGCTCTATAAAGAATATATATATATACATAAAGGATGCTTAATGCTTTAGATTTAGATTGATTTTAATAATGATTCTTAATTTTTATTTTAGATAAAAGTTTAAAATGTTTGGATGTCTATTTCAAGTTTCTACTCAAATATTGCAAACCAATATAATGAAGACCTATAATGGAAAGTGACTAAGTGAGTGGCTCTTAGCGAGTATTTGTAATTGGGCTATAGATATTGTGTTATTGGGCCTGTGTGATTAGCCCATCTTTGTACTTGTATATATATCGGTTTGTGATTAATGAAAAACAGATCAGTTCCGCTAAAATTCTACATGGTATCAGAGCCAATCATATGCCTTTAGCGTTTCCGCTCTCCAGCGTGCGACGAATCCCTTATGTGTTTTTCGCCGATCTGGGCTGATCGTGTAATCGTACGCTGCTGATTTCTGTGCGATTGTATCCCTTCTGGTTTTTGTGCGCCGCTGATAAGTCCTCTTCAGGTTTATGCGCTGTATTTTTTTTTTCTCTGTGACTGTGCGCTGCTGCTGATCGGCAATCTTGGCTAGTGTATTAATTTGCAAGTTGTGGATTATAATTTGATCGGCAATCTTGGCTTGATGCCGAATTGGATTATAATTTGCTTGCCAAATTGTGGCTTTTATTTAATTTGCAAGTTGCAAAGTGCGCTGGTGTCTCTTCCTGCTGTCATTTGTTTTTGGGAATTATTGTTGCTTCCAACTATTGGATTAGAGATAATTCTGTTGAAACAGGCATTACTTTGTGATTCTTTGGTTTTCTCTGTTGCTTCTGCACCATCAATTTCTGAATAGTTGCAAGGTCCGTCTTTTACAATATCTTGTGAATGGCTTGTGGATAGTGGTGCATCTCATCATATGACAGGTTTATTGCATTGTTTGACTGATGTTGTGCCGCGGCCTCCTTGCACTATCAGTTTGCCCGATGGAACTCACGTGGTGGTCAACTCTTATGGTCGTGTGCAAGTGTCCCCTTCCCTAATCTTGCACAATGTTTTATATGTTCCCAATTTGAAGTGCAATTTGATATCAGTGAGTTGTCTTGTCAACTCACATAACTGTCATGTTTTCTTTGATGATCATTTTTGTGTGATACAGGACCGAACTACGAAGGTTCGGATTGGTCAATGTGAAGCACGCAACGGGGTCTATGTCTTTCCCTCTCAAGCCCAAGCGTCTAAAGCTGAGTCTGTTTCCTTGTTACACAAGCGTCTTGGCCACCCATCTCCACAAGTTCTGTCTCTCCCTCCGTTTAATAAGAGCCATACTGAAATTAAAAATTTTCAGTCTTGTGATATTTGTTTCTTCTCCAAACAGACTCGTTCTAAATTTTCTCCTAGTCTTAATAAAGCTGAGAACCTATTTGATTTAATTCATTGTGATTTATGAGGTCCATATTCTCCATGTATTTCTACTGGGTCTCATTATTTCCTTACCATTGTGGATGACTTTTCTAGAGCTGTTTGGGTTTTTCTCATTGTTGATAAAAGTGAGGTTGCTAGCTGTTTAAAACAGTTTTTCTCTCTCATCCATACTCAATTTGGTAAAATTATTAAAGTTGTTCGGTCTGACAACGGTACTGAGTTTTTGAACAGGCCTCTGCGTGAATTTTACACTAGTATGGGGGTACTTGTGCAAACTTCCTGTGTTAATACACCCCAGCAAAATGGTCGAGTCGAGCGCAAACATCGCCACATTCTTAATGTCGCTCGTTCTATAATGTTTCAGGCCTCTTTACCTCTTGAGTTTTGGGGTGAATGTGTTCGCACCGCCGTTTATCTTATAAATCGCATACCCACTCCACTTTTACAGGGAAAATCTCCATATGAACTTCTTTCTTCAAAGCCTCCAGACTTGTCTCATCTTCGGGTTTTTGGGTGTTTGTGTTTTGTTCGTCATGTTCAGCGACCACCAAATAAATTTTCCCCAAAAAGTATCAAATGTATGTTTGTGGGATATCCTACGGGAACTAAAGGTTGGCGGGTTTATGATCTTGAGTCTCATCGTTTTTTTCACACCCGGGATATTTCGTTTGACGAATCCATCTTTCCTTTTTCCATTCCTAAAAACTCTCCCACCCCGGATACTTCTCGCGTTTCTTTGAAAACTAAGAAACAGACAACTGTGGCGAGATCATCTGCGGAAGCCGAGTACAGGGCTATGGCAAATGCGTGTGTGGAAATACGGTGGATGCACGGTATTCTAGGCGCTTTAGGCGTCCCCATTTTATATCCTCCACGGTTGTATTGCGACAATCAATCAGCCTTATATATTGCAGCAAATCCAGTGTTCCACGAACGTATGAAACATATTGATGTCCATTGTCATACGGTTCGTGAATCTGTTCAGCGACACGAGGTGTCTACGCGATATGTCCCTACACGCTACCAGTTGGCAGACGTTTTTACCAAACCTTTGTCAAAACCCGTATTTGATTTTCTATTGTGCAAGTTGGGCATTCAGGATCTTCATGCGCCAACTTGAGGGGGAGTGTTAGCGGGTATTTGTAATTGGGCTGTAGATATTGTGTTATTGGGCCTGTGTGATTAGCCCATCTTTGTACTTGTATATATATCGGTTTCTGATTAATGAAAAACAGATCAGTTCCGCTAAAATTCTATAGTGGCATATATGTTTTGATTGCAAAGACTGAGTTGGTCGTGAAAAAGCGATATCGTGGGTGAGATTCATCATGATTCTTAGAAGGGTAGGAATCGTTAATTTTACGAATGAAAAATCGTAGGTACCATGATCGAAATGGTGTCACAGTGTTCCACAATTTGGGATATTGTAACTCTACACTTCTTTAAAATAATGAGTATAGATCTATATAGAATTGAACTTTGTTTGTCCAAGTCTAAATGGACATATATAAGTATTTCTTAAAATAATTTTGTGGGACACGGAATAGGGAGGGATTAATATAAAGTTCCATATTGGTCATATTTGGTAATGAAACTTAATTTTCTTAGGGTATACTCGGTAATATTTTAATGAAATAGGTATCTTTAATATTACGATGTATTGTTTTCAGAGACATACAATATTCAATTTATAAAATTATGGTTCCTACTCCCTTGCTAACCCCACCTCGGCACGAACCCAACTCACTCCCATACCTCCCCAATTCCAATTTCATCCACAAAATTGATTAACTTTGGAGTTTAATTTTTTTGAACCCAAAATCAACATAAATTTAGAGATGAGTGGTGATGGGCTATTGGGCCATCAGCTTAGGTCCACCCCAAGATTTGCGTAACTTGGACTCAAGCGTACGCGCAGTAGCTTGCCAATCCGTTCTCGCATCGAATGCCCACTTCTATAATTTCCTTTTCTTTTTGTGTTTTTTGCTTTTCAATTTTTTGTTTTATTTTTCAGTCTGTAGTTTTTTTCCAGATATTTACTTTTTTTGCCTAGCTTTCAGTTTTTTTAATTTCAACTTTAATTTAAAATTTTATTTTAATTACATTTAGAAAATATATAAAATACGACCCGGTTCTAGTGACGCCGGAGAACGGTGCCACTCCGGTGCCACTGTGTTTGGAGGTGCTCTGTTCGTAAAATTGACGGTTCCTAACCCCCCTACCCCACCCCTAACCCCCCCACCCACCCCACCCCTGCACCCCACCCCAACCCCGCCGTAAGCCCCCCACAAAATGTGTGGCTATTATGTTTAGAAACAAAAAAGAATGGTACATAACGATCAAAATGTAAATTTACACTTTAAATTATAAATTTTAAGGACAGCATTGAAAATTATGACACTTTAACTAGTACTCCGTATTTCTATGATATTAGATAAATAAAAAATAAAAAAATTGTTTTTAAATTTTAAAATAATAAAGAAAAAAAAGAAAAATACTCCCTCCGTCCCAAAAAGATTTACACATTTCAAAAAAATAGCGTCCCACAATCTCCTACCCATTTCTATTAAAAACCACTTTTATCCCTTACTTTTTCAAACCCTACCTATCACATCATACCTTTTTCTTAATAATCTACACATCACATCCTACTTTTACTCATCACATCAAGGGTATTTTTGGAAAGTCAACACAAAATTATCTCTCCCTTAATTTCAACTTTAGTCAAAATGGGTAACACTTTATGGGACGGTGGGAGTATTTCATAGTATAAACTATATTAGATATCATTGAATATAGTTAACATGTAAGCCTACGTAAGTACATATATTATTTATTAATCTTTAAATTTAATAAATCATGCACACAATTTTAAAATAAATTTGATAAGATTTTTTCCATTGGTAATCAATAATAAATTGGATATAAATGTACCCCTGCATCTCCCTATCAAAAATGTGCTCCACAATGATCACATGTACATGTTGCATGCTTGACTTCCTTGACATCCTTGAGACATTGACAATTAATGAGGTGATAACTTTGCTCCATATTTTATCCCAAAAAATTTGCTCCACCCACCAGCACGTACGGCAGCGCATAACATTTCAGAGAGAGAGAATTGAACATAGTGATTATCGCCGGTGAGCCTTCACCTCCGGCGTTTAGTCTCAACGCGCGCACTTCGCAATCGGAGAGAGCACAATTAATCAGCTGGGCTTCATATTTTCAGTAAAATAGCATCAAATTAATAAAGCACATCCGAGCAAAATCTAGAGGGTTTCTTCAAAGGTGACGAACTCATGCAAATTTATAGATTTAATATTTCTATTCTAAGATCTCTTGCTTGTATACACATGCATCCAACTTGTATATACGTACATTCTTGATTGATGTAGATATTTATGAATTTTCTTCAAAGGAGGCTAATTTTGGATAAGGTGGCAAATCTGTAGTGTTAGTGACAGCAGTGAGAAATTGTGCATCAATTATTGAGGAATCAGGTATTATTTCCTCGGCTGTCCTTTTTTATTATTTGTCTTTGAGTTAACAGTCTCTATATGGTACGTGTGTAGTAGAATGGATTTAAGTATGATGTGGGTAAAATAGGATCATAAAAAAAAAGATTTACCTTTTTTTGTGTGGGTAAGGAATATGAATTCTGGTTTTTTGACGTGGTATGTTGGAGGATCTTAAACCCATGGTATGTAGTCTGCATGAAAAAGCAACTAACTTACGGATTGAGTTTTACAAATTTAGTTTAGTTTTGGTCTTGTTTTGTGGCATGGAACATAAAAATATGGGCAAATGACACTTAAAAGTTACAGTAAAATAGTTCTGTTTTTTTTTTCTTTCTTGCAAGCTAAGGCATAGGCACTGGAATTAAGAAATCAAGATGAACTTAGTCTTTGCTGTACTAGTGGTTTTGAGTTATAAGCATTCAAAGCCTTTCCATCTTACCTACTTGATTAAGAACATACTGTCCCCCAACATTTGAATGTAACCCTACATTTCTCATAAATATAAGTAAACAACAGATCGACTTCACATTAGAAATGAAGATTATTCAGCTGCTTGTGGTGGTTGCCGCGGTGTTGACAGCGGCGGCGGGTGCACCGGCGGTCACGCCGGGCACTCTCCGGCGCCTTAACCGTGAGGAGGGGGCCGCCAGTAAGCGGAGGAGCATCGAAATCACGCACCCGTACGTGCCCGGAAGCATGCCTGTAGACCCAAGCCACCCTCAGGGCCTCCCCTCTTTCTCTGTGCCACGCTCGAGCATCAAGAATGGGGAGATGGCCAACACGATGGATTTCACGTTGAACTCCCACTGGGGTACCCACCTGGACGCTCCGGGGTACCTCAACCAGACCCTCCTGGAACAAGGCCGCGACATCGACTCTCTCAATCTCGACACCTTGTCCGGTAATCAATCTATACATTCTCGATCTTTTTTTTACATAAGATTAAAACATAATGACTTTCCCAATATAGGACCATATGTTTTTATTTCCCAATGTAGGACCTTTCGCCATTATCAAGTAGTCATTATTCAACTAAATGTCCAACATTAGGAAAGTCATTATGTTTTAGTCCTATTTAGTGCAAATTTTACTTTTTACATATTATTTGAAGAAATTGGTCACTCGCTGATTTGGTTTTTTTGATACCTTGGCAGGGCCTTGCTGGGTGGTGGACACTCCCCGGGGAAAGAACATCACTTGTATAATATAATATAATATATTCAAATTAATAATAATTATGATCTGTTTTATTATGTTCTACATCGTTTCTCTGATTCAACTCGATAAGTAAAACTTATGTATGTGCGCAGCCGAGGTGATGGAGGGCCTGGGCATTCCCCGAGGAGTGGAACGGGTCCTCTTCAAAACACTGAACACCGACCGGAAGTTGATGAACCAGCCGCGGTTCGATCCTAGCTACACGGCGTTCACCCCGGACGGTGCTCAGTATCTCGTCTCCAACACCGACATCAAACTTGTTGGTAAGTACAAGAATTTATCATTAACTGAAAATTTCTTGTAAAATTTGATCTGAAATCTTTGTGTGTGTGTGTGTGTGTGTGTGATAATGCAGGCATTGACTACCTGTCCGTCGGTGTTGGAGTGGAGGAGGACTCCATTGCCGTCCACCGCACATTTCTTAACACTCTAGTACGTGCAATAGTTAATTACAGATGATCGAGCTTTATTTAATATGCATGAATGAATTAGTTAGATTGAAATTTGCAGGAAATAATTCCAGTGGAGGGTTTAAAGCTGGACGAGGTAGAACCTGGGGTGTACGATGTTGATTGTCTGCCGTTGAGCATACCCACGTTGGATGGGTCGCCTGCCCGGTGCATATTGGCCACGGTTGGGTCTTCTGGGTCCTCGTCTTCGCCCGGTCTCCTCGCCGTTTTCTTTTTGCAATTTGTCACGTGTTTTTTATTTTTTGCTTAGGCTAGTTTAAGAGAGTATTAACTTGGGTTCATTGATGTATATTTTTTTAATTAAAGGAATTGTCATTTGTATTCCTTAATTACCCTTTGATTAGTGAATTTAACGTGATGTCACTTTGATAAAAGTATTGTGAAGCATTTTGTTTATTTCTCCAAGGGTTGTGTTGAATACAGAAAACTCCTACCCTATTTATAAGCCAAGAATCCAAATCCTAGAAGGAAACCAGTAAACTAGGAAACACAGAGTACAAGACCAAAATAAACTAGGAAATCACTTAAACCAAATCCTCAAAGGATTCGGCCTTCCAGTGTGCGTGCAAGCCAAGGAACGAATTCTCGTTCCGTAACACCCCCCCTCAAGCGGGTACGTGTGGATTACGAGTGCCCAGCTTGGACNGCTTATAAATAGGGTAGGAGTTTTCTGTATTCAACACAACCCTTGGAGAAATAAACAAAATGCTTCACAATACTTTTATCAAAGTGACATCACGTTAAATTCACTAATCAAAGGGTAATTAAGGAATACAAATGACAATTCCTTTAATTAAAAAAATATACATCAATGAACCCAAGTTAATACTCTCTTAAACTAGCCTAAGCAAAAAATAAAAAACACGTGACAAATTGCAAAAAGAAAACGGCGAGGAGACCGGGCGAAGACGAGGACCCAGAAGACCCAACCGTGGCCAATATGCACCGGGCAGGCGACCCATCCAACGTGGGTATGCTCAACGGCAGACAATCAACATCGTACACCCCAGGTTCTACCTCGTCCAGCTTTAAACCCTCCACTGGAATTATTTCCTGCAAATTTCAATCTAACTAATTCATTCATGCATATTAAATAAAGCTCGATCATCTGTAATTAACTATTGCACGTACTAGAGTGTTAAGAAATGTGCGGTGGACGGCAATGGAGTCCTCCTCCACTCCAACACCGACGGACAGGTAGTCAATGCCTGCATTATCACACACACACACACACACACACAAAGATTTCAGATCAAATTTTACAAGAAATTTTCAGTTAATGATAAATTCTTGTACTTACCAACAAGTTTGATGTCGGTGTTGGAGACGAGATACTGAGCACCGTCCGGGGTGAACGCCGTGTAGCTAGGATCGAACCGCGGCTGGTTCATCAACTTCCGGTCGGTGTTCAGTGTTTTGAAGAGGACCCGTTCCACTCCTCGGGGAATGCCCAGGCCCTCCATCACCTCGGCTGCGCACATACATAAGTTTTACTTATCGAGTTGAATCAGAGAAACGATGTAGAACATAATAAAACAGATCATAATTATTATTAATTTGAATATATTATATTATATTATACAAGTGATGTTCTTTCCCCGGGGAGTGTCCACCACCCAGCAAGGCCCTGCCAAGGTATCAAAAAAACCAAATCAGCGAGTGACCAATTTCTTCAAATAATATGTAAAAAGTAAAATTTGCACTAAATAGGACTAAAACATAATGACTTTCCTAATGTTGGACATTTAGTTGAATAATGACTACTTGATAATGGCGAAAGGTCCTACATTGGGAAATAAAAACATATGGTCCTATATTGGGAAAGTCATTATGTTTTAATCTTATGTAAAAAAAAGATCGAGAATGTATAGATTGATTACCGGACAAGGTGTCGAGATTGAGAGAGTCGATGTCGCGGCCTTGTTCCAGGAGGGTCTGGTTGAGGTACCCCGGAGCGTCCAGGTGGGTACCCCAGTGGGAGTTCAACGTGAAATCCATCGTGTTGGCCATCTCCCCATTCTTGATGCTCGAGCGTGGCACAGAGAAAGAGGGGAGGCCCTGAGGGTGGCTTGGGTCTACAGGCATGCTTCCGGGCACGTACGGGTGCGTGATTTCGATGCTCCTCCGCTTACTGGCGGCCCCCTCCTCACGGTTAAGGCGCCGGAGAGTGCCCGGCGTGACCGCCGGTGCACCCGCCGCCGCTGTCAACACCGCGGCAACCACCACAAGCAGCTGAATAATCTTCATTTCTAATGTGAAGTCGATCTGTTGTTTACTTATATTTATGAGAAATGTAGGGTTACATTCAAATGTTGGGGGACAGTATGTTCTTAATCAAGTAGGTAAGATGGAAAGGCTTTGAATGCTTATAACTCAAAACCACTAGTACAGCAAAGACTAAGTTCATCTTGATTTCTTAATTCCAGTGCCTATGCCTTAGCTTGCAAGAAAGAAAAAAAAAACAGAACTATTTTACTGTAACTTTTAAGTGTCATTTGCCCATATTTTTATGTTCCATGCCACAAAACAAGACCAAAACTAAACTAAATTTGTAAAACTCAATCCGTAAGTTAGTTGCTTTTTCATGCAGACTACATACCATGGGTTTAAGATCCTCCAACATACCACGTCAAAAAACCAGAATTCATATTCCTTACCCACACAAAAAAAGGTAAATCTTTTTTTTTATGATCCTATTTTACCCACATCATACTTAAATCCATTCTACTACACACGTACCATATAGAGACTGTTAACTCAAAGACAAATAATAAAAAAGGACAGCCGAGGAAATAATACCTGATTCCTCAATAATTGATGCACAATTTCTCACTGCTGTCACTAACACTACAGATTTGCCACCTTATCCAAAATTAGCCTCCTTTGAAGAAAATTCATAAATATCTACATCAATCAAGAATGTACGTATATACAAGTTGGATGCATGTGTATACAAGCAAGAGATCTTAGAATAGAAATATTAAATCTATAAATTTGCATGAGTTCGTCACCTTTGAAGAAACCCTCTAGATTTTGCTCGGATGTGCTTTATTAATTTGATGCTATTTTACTGAAAATATGAAGCCCAGCTGATTAATTGTGCTCTCTCCGATTGCGAAGTGCGCGCGTTGAGACTAAACGCCGGAGGTGAAGGCTCACCGGCGATAATCACTATGTTCAATTCTCTCTCTCTGAAATGTTATGCGCTGCCGTACGTGCTGGTGGGTGGAGCAAATTTTTTGGGATAAAATATGGAGCAAAGTTATCACCTCATTAATTGTCAATGTCTCAAGGATGTCAAGGAAGTCAAGCATGCAACATGTACATGTGATCATTGTGGAGCACATTTTTGATAGGGAGATGCAGGGGTACATTTATATCCAATTTATTATTGATTACCAATGGAAAAAATCTTATCAAATTTATTTTAAAATTGTGTGCATGATTTATTAAATTTAAAGATTAATAAATAATATATGTACTTACGTAGGCTTACATGTTAACTATATTCAATGATATCTAATATAGTTTATACTATGAAATACTCCCACCGTCCCATAAAGTGTTACCCATTTTGACTAAAGTTGAAATTAAGGGAGAGATAATTTTGTGTTGACTTTCCAAAAATACCCTTGATGTGATGAGTAAAAGTAGGATGTGATGTGTAGATTATTAAGAAAAAGGTATGATGTGATAGGTAGGGTTTGAAAAAGTAAGGGATAAAAGTGGTTTTTAATAGAAATGGGTAGGAGATTGTGGGACGCTATTTTTTTGAAATGTGTAAATCTTTTTGGGACGGAGGGAGTATTTTTCTTTTTTTTCTTTATTATTTTAAAATTTAAAAACAATTTTTTTATTTTTTATTTATCTAATATCATAGAAATACGGAGTACTAGTTAAAGTGTCATAATTTTCAATGCTGTCCTTAAAATTTATAATTTAAAGTGTAAATTTACATTTTGATCGTTATGTACCATTCTTTTTTGTTTCTAAACATAATAGCCACACATTTTGTGGGGGGCTTACGGCGGGGTTGGGGTGGGGTGCAGGGGTGGGGTGGGTGGGGGGTTTAGGGGTGGGTTAGGGGGGTTAGGAACCGTCAATTTTACGAACAGAGCACCTCCAAACACAGTGGCACCGGAGTGGCACCGTTCTCCGGCGTCACTAGAACCGGGTCGTATTTTATATATTTTCTAAATGTAATTAAAATAAAATTTTAAATTAAAGTTGAAATTAAAAAAACTGAAAGCTAGGCAAAAAAAGTAAATATCTGGAAAAAAACTACAGACTGAAAAATAAAACAAAAAATTGAAAAGCAAAAAACACAAAAAGAAAAGGAAATTATAGAAGTGGGCATTCGATGCGAGAACGGATTGGCAAGCTACTGCGCGTACGCTTGAGTCCAAGTTACGCAAATCTTGGGGTGGACCTAAGCTGATGGCCCAATAGCCCATCACCACTCATCTCTAAATTTATGTTGATTTTGGGTTCAAAAAAATTAAACTCCAAAGTTAATCAATTTTGTGGATGAAATTGGAATTGGGGAGGTATGGGAGTGAGTTGGGTTCGTGCCGAGGTGGGGTTAGCAAGGGAGTAGGAACCATAATTTTATAAATTGAATATTGTATGTCTCTGAAAACAATACATCGTAATATTAAAGATACCTATTTCATTAAAATATTACCGAGTATACCCTAAGAAAATTAAGTTTCATTACCAAATATGACCAATATGGAACTTTATATTAATCCCTCCCTATTCCGTGTCCCACAAAATTATTTTAAGAAATACTTATATATGTCCATTTAGACTTGGACAAACAAAGTTCAATTCTATATAGATCTATACTCATTATTTTAAAGAAGTGTAGAGTTACAATATCCCAAATTGTGGAACACTGTGACACCATTTCGATCATGGTACCTACGATTTTTCATTCGTAAAATTAACGATTCCTACCCTTCTAAGAATCATGATGAATCTCACCCACGATATCGCTTTTTCACGACCAACTCAGTCTTTGCAATCAAAACATATATGCCACTATAGAATTTTAGCGGAACTGATCTGTTTTTCATTAATCAGAAACCGATATATATACAAGTACAAAGATGGGCTAATCACACAGGCCCAATAACACAATATCTACAGCCCAATTACAAATACCCGCTAACACTCCCCCTCAAGTTGGCGCATGAAGATCCTGAATGCCCAACTTGCACAATAGAAAATCAAATACGGGTTTTGACAAAGGTTTGGTAAAAACGTCTGCCAACTGGTAGCGTGTAGGGACATATCGCGTAGACACCTCGTGTCGCTGAACAGATTCACGAACCGTATGACAATGGACATCAATATGTTTCATACGTTCGTGGAACACTGGATTTGCTGCAATATATAAGGCTGATTGATTGTCGCAATACAACCGTGGAGGATATAAAATGGGGACGCCTAAAGCGCCTAGAATACCGTGCATCCACCGTATTTCCACACACGCATTTGCCATAGCCCTGTACTCGGCTTCCGCAGATGATCTCGCCACAGTTGTCTGTTTCTTAGTTTTCAAAGAAACGCGAGAAGTATCCGGGGTGGGAGAGTTTTTAGGAATGGAAAAAGGAAAGATGGATTCGTCAAACGAAATATCCCGGGTGTGAAAAAAACGATGAGACTCAAGATCATAAACCCGCCAACCTTTAGTTCCCGTAGGATATCCCACAAACATACATTTGATACTTTTTGGGGAAAATTTATTTGGTGGTCGCTGAACATGACGAACAAAACACAAACACCCAAAAACCCGAAGATGAGACAAGTCTGGAGGCTTTGAAGAAAGAAGTTCATATGGAGATTTTCCCTGTAAAAGTGGAGTGGGTATGCGATTTATAAGATAAACGGCGGTGCGAACACATTCACCCCAAAACTCAAGAGGTAAAGAGGCCTGAAACATTATAGAACGAGCGACATTAAGAATGTGGCGATGTTTGCGCTCGACTCGACCATTTTGCTGGGGTGTATTAACACAGGAAGTTTGCACAAGTACCCCCATACTAGTGTAAAATTCACGCAGAGGCCTGTTCAAAAACTCAGTACCGTTGTCAGACCGAACAACTTTAATAATTTTACCAAATTGAGTATGGATGAGAGAGAAAAACTGTTTTAAACAGCTAGCAACCTCACTTTTATCAACAATGAGAAAAACCCAAACAGCTCTAGAAAAGTCATCCACAATGGTAAGGAAATAATGAGACCCAGTAGAAATACATGGAGAATATGGACCTCATAAATCACAATGAATTAAATCAAATAGGTTCTCAGCTTTATTAAGACTAGGAGAAAATTTAGAACGAGTCTGTTTGGAGAAGAAACAAATATCACAAGACTGAAAATTTTTAATTTCAGTATGGCTCTTATTAAACGGAGGGAGAGACAGAACTTGTGGAGATGGGTGGCCAAGACGCTTGTGTAACAAGGAAACAGACTCAGCTTTAGACGCTTGGGCTTGAGAGGGAAAGACATAGACCCCGTTGCGTGCTTCACATTGACCAATCCGAACCTTCGTAGTTCGGTCCTGTATCACACAAAAATGATCATCAAAGAAAACATGACAGTTATGTGAGTTGACAAGACAACTCACTGATATCAAATTGCACTTCAAATTGGGAACATATAAAACATTGTGCAAGATTAGGGAAGGGGACACTTGCACACGACCATAAGAGTTGACCACCACGTGAGTTCCATCGGGCAAACTGATAGTGCAAGGAGGCCGCGGCACAACATCAGTCAAACAATGCAATAAACCTGTCATATGATGAGATGCACCACTATCCACAAGCCATTCACAAGATATTGTAAAAGACGGACCTTGCAACTATTCAGAAATTGATGGTGCAGAAGCAACAGAGAAAACCAAAGAATCACAAAGTAATGCCTGTTTCAACAGAATTATCTCTAATCCAATAGTTGGAAGCAACAATAATTCCCAAAAACAAATGACAGCAGGAAGAGACACCAGCGCACTTTGCAACTTGCAAATTAAATAAAAGCCACAATTTGGCAAGCAAATTATAATCCAATTCGGCATCAAGCCAAGATTGCCGATCAAATTATAATCCACAACTTGCAAATTAATACACTAGCCAAGATTGCCGATCAGCAGCAGCGCACAGTCACAGAGAAAAAAAAAATACAGCGCATAAACCTGAAGAGGACTTATCAGCGGCGCACAAAAACCAGAAGGGATACAATCGCACAGAAATCAGCAGCGTACGATTACACGATCAGCCCAGATCGGCGAAAAACACATAAGGGATTCGTCGCACGCTGGAGAGCGGAAACGCTAAAGGCATATGATTGGCTCTGATACCATGTAGAATTTTAGCGGAACTGATCTGTTTTTCATTAATCACAAACCGATATATATACAAGTACAAAGATGGGCTAATCACACAGGCCCAATAACACAATATCTATAGCCCAATTACAAATACTCGCTAAGAGCCACTCACTTAGTCACTTTCCATTATAGGTCTTCATTATATTGGTTTGCAATATTTGAGTAGAAACTTGAAATAGACATCCAAACATTTTAAACTTTTATCTAAAATAAAAATTAAGAATCATTATTAAAATCAATCTAAATCTAAAGCATTAAGCATCCTTTATGTATATATATATATTCTTTATAGAGCATATATATTTGCTCTAAGAAAGACTACTTGCACACAGGTAACAAAGCCAAGCCAACTCCTTAGCTTGTTCATTTTATACTACTACATGACACCATTATTTTATTAACACTGGTTGGTTTTGCCTGGTTGGACCATCACATTTCTTCCACGGGCACCGGAGGGACCACCGGAGAGCGGGCGGCCGTTCAGGCGGACCGGTTTCCGAAGGAGTTGCGGCGGGCGGTGGCGAGGATAGTCTTGTCGGCGACGATGAAGTAAGCCATCCCGGCGGCGGTGGAGATGATGAGCGCCTGCGCCGTGGGGTTCAAGTGGGCCCTGGCCCACGGCAGCACTCTCACGCTTGCCATTGTTGGGATCGCCGTCGCGATGGTGGCCACCACCGCTGCTTTTGCTCCGGCGACCACTCCCTCTGCACTTACAAAAAGATTCAATAAAATGTTAATGTATATACCAATATAGTTCACTCCCTCTAAAAATTAACTTTGTACGGTATTGAATTTTCATATAAGTACCATTTGAATTTCAAGAAATTTATCTAAATAGTATTAAAACATAATCACTTTCTCAATTTAGTATTAAATATTTTTATTTTCAAATTTAGTACCACTGTTCAAGATCTAAGATCGAATAGACATTATTTAAACAAAATTCTACCATCAATGGATATTGTTCTTTTGCCACTAGATGTTATTTTATGTTTTAGTGCGTGCTATTTATTACTCCCTCCGTCCGGAAATTTTCTTCCTGTGTTGACTTGGCACGCTTATTAAGGAATAGTAAAAAAAATGCAAAATTTTCAAAAATGCACTTACCATAAACTTTTAAATATCCTTTTATTATTAAAAAAGTAGATTTGTGATAAAATAGAAGGGTATAATTGATATTTAGCCTTAAAAAGCATACTAAAAAAGAAAATGAGAAGAATATTTCCGGACGGACTAAAAAGGAAAATGGGAAGAATATTTCCGGACGGAAGGGGTACCATTTTTACTTGATTTTTAGTAATTTCTTTTAAGAAAGAATTAAAATGTGAAAATAATAGAGAGTACAAATTACTACCTACCTCCAAGTATGACTTTTGCAAATAAAAATGACCCCAATTTTAATCACTATTAAATAAATATAATTGAATGATTTAAAAGAAGGAAGAATATACCATGAGAGCAACGCTTAGCCATGGCCAACTGATCGAGGGATGCCATTGTTGGTGAAAATTAAAGTTGAATGAAGATTTTTTTGGAAGGTTTTGGAGATGGGAGGGAAGTGTTTGGATAATGTTGGTATGATAGTGGAAAAAAGAAATAACTAGGTGTATATATAGGGGAACTTTTCAGTGAAACCAAACAACATTTGATGGTTTTGTAGCATTACCAGCGCCCCACTCCCTTTGTTTTAATGTGGTTGCATTGGTTGGTGTGATTCAAGAAATTACTGACTATTTCGATTTTGCTACACCACCTAGTAACTCTAATATTTTGTCACTAGCCGCCGGGTGTTTTGCATTTAGCAAAGATTTAGAATTTTAAAGAAATAGATTCAATTTTTATTTTTGAGAACTGCGTTGGAAGATAACTATTTTAAGCATAATGTTTCTGCAAATATCAAGTGTAGACTTTACTTTCTATCATCAATCTACAATTAAAATCCAATTTACCTCTCCTAAGTGACATATGTTTTACTCTCTCCGTCCTAAAATGTTCTTCCCGTTTCCGTTTACGAGGTTTGACCGACTTTATTTTCAATTCAATTTTCTTTATGTAGGTGTAAAATTAAAAAAATAAAAATTTATGGATTTAAAAAATCTGTCAAAAGTTCTACAAATTAAAAGTGACAAGATTATTATTTTATCAAATAACTAACGAAAAAAGACAAAGAAAGTGATTAAAATTTGAATATAAGTTGGGAAGAACGTTTAAAAGAAAGGAAGTAGTACATAGAAAGGATACATATTTTAATACTCTCTCCGTCTCATAAAACATTTTCTGTTTCAAAAATAGCACGCCTTTAAAATGAGTAATTTTGGTGTTATTTTCTAATTTTGCCCTTACTTTTTAAAAGAGTAGAATGAGATGTGTAGAATAGATTAGTCATAATTAAAAACAACACTAAAATTACTCATTTTAAAGGTGTGCCATTTTTTAAACAAAAAATGTTTTATGAGACTGAGGGAGTACCATTTAATGCAAATCTCACAAAAATAAGTGCACTTGACATACGCAGGAATGTTTGTATGGAGTATGTGTTCTCTAAAAAATACAAGGGCACAAATTAGTTCGAGAAACATTCTCTCGGACCTAAGTACGTATATTTTCATTATTTTGCATGAATTAAGAAACACCGAATATAAAATTTGTGTTATCCAAATTTATTCTGGAGGCAAGTATTAAAATTGCAGAATACTTCACAAGAATATACACATTCTTGATTACTAAAGTTCATATAGTTTGATTGATAATGTCAAATTGAAAAATATATTGAGACTGAGACCCTGTTTGGCATCATCGTTAAAGATTAGCATTAATATTTTGAAAAGGTTATTTGAAGATAGACTTTAGTGTTAAGGGCTGTTTGTTTCAGCCTCTTAATGGTTCAAATGTCTGAATGGTTCAGCACTTAATGGTTCAGATTATTTGTTTCGTGAGCAGATGTCTGAATGGTTCAGATATTTACCTCTGAATGGTTAAGTATTATACAGAGTCTGAATGGTTAAGACCTCTTATCTGAATTGATCAAACATTTGCTTCTGAATAGTTAAGCAATATATTAGCACTTAATAGTTCAGACCTCTTACTGGTTCAGCACTTACCTATTCTGAAGTTGCCAAACAGCCCCTTAGTCTTTTCAGAGTATTCCCTCCGTTCCACTTGAATCTTTCCATACATCATTCACAAAATTAAATTTCATATATTTTATTTCTTTATTTTCGTTACTCATTAGGTAAAAAAAATAATCATGCCATATCAAGTATTTTGTAGATATTAAATTTTAATGTAATTTTTAAATACACAATTATTATTTTTAAAATATACTATCAAAATTAAATTAATAAATAAAGTTATTCAAACATTCTAATGTGAACTCGAAAAGTTTAAATGGGATAGAGGGAGCATTTTTTCATGTGAAATTTACACTAAATAGGACTAAAACATAAGTCATTTCCTATATAGGACTTAAACTTTTTTATTCCCTAAATAAGACTTAATAATGACTATTGAGAAAAATAATGTACAAATGATGCTGGACATTTAGTTGAATAATGACTAATAGATAATGAATGACCAATGGTCTTACATTGAGAAATAAAAATATATAATCCTATATTGAGAAAGTCATTATATTTTAGTTATATCTAGGTAAATTATCGTTTTTTTTTCATTTCTTAACGTTTCTAGAAATTGCGAAAAAGTTAATGAGTGAACATAATTTTGGGTTGAGTGTGTGAGAGTCTGAGAACTATTTTTGTTTATTTAATTAATTGATTGAAACGGGGGGAGGGTAAAGTAAGGAGAGCCAGTGGTTTGGGGAGAGAGGGACAAAGGGAAGTCCCCAAAACCGTGGGTGGGTGCGCCCTTAATCGTGAGTCCGTAATTTGGGGATCTGTCGGGGGAGGGGGGAATGGGTGACCTGGCCGGACTTTACTGTTAGAGCATGGATATGAGGTAAAAATTGAATCTCCACGTGACAGATTTCAATCAATAAAAAATTATTTAGTCAGATAGCAGTACAGGAGTGGAGTAACAAATTTTACAATAACAAGTGATTGTTACTATCACTTATTACATTTTTGATATGTTTTAATTATTAAAAAGTACTTTTTCAATTTATTTTATCATTAATAAAATTCTACTTTCTTACAAAAAATGCTTATTTTTATTAAAAAAAATAAAAAAAGGGATATGGAATGTCACGCTTAAGACATGGAGTGCATGACAAAATGAAGATGACTTGCAAGCCAAAAAGAAAAAACTAGAGCTTTAGGCTGAGGTGGCGTGGCATGGCAGCCAAACCCCTAGCCACTGCCACTGCTCTTAATACTTGGATTTTTTTATACATTCTTCTTGAAACTAGTAAACGGTTTGTCTCCTATTTACCCATTCTTTATGAAAAAGAATTAAATTTACAAAAGTTTTAGATTAAAAGTTTTATATTTTTGTTCTAGAGTAAGATCGAGTACAATACTAATATACTCGAAGTATATAATACTAAAAAATGAATTGGGATGCAATGCAATCATATAATTGTTAGTTATTTGGGTTAGTTACTAAGGGGGAGACCTAGTGATTATTTTGTTTATTCTTTGTTGGCCTTATCCTTGTGACAAAAACAAATAAGTAGGAATGTTTATTTGTTCTTTTTAGCTGATTGGATGTAGAGTCCTGCTGTGTCATGTTTGGGTTTAGAGTCTATTCCTACGAGCTGGAGAAGACTTCCTCTTGAGAAGGGATTCCTGCGAAGCTGTCCAGAGTCCCATGCAGACCGGGAATAAGATTTGCTAGAGAGTTTAAGTATGATCATGACTAGGGTTTTCCCGTGCTCACACATATATATATGCACATGATCTCATACAGAAGGTAAGGAGAATAGACATACTTCCAGCGAGAGATTGAGAGAGCCATAAACCCTAGCTGCAAAAGGAGATCAGAAGAGAACCATGTTTGGTTCTTTCTGATATACGGTGCTGTTGTGAGCACAAGAAGTTTGTGGCCTGTTCGCAGATCATATTGCAGATCCATGATTGGTTTTGATGAAAACCACATCCAGCTAATGAACTAAGAAGGGCTGGAGAAAGGACTGTCAGCACGTCCAATAACAAGAAGTTATTAAGGTTGGTGTAATATGCCATTGGGAGAAACACTAACAGAGTTATGTGTTTAAGTAGTCATCTGTAGTAGATTAGTTCAATCCACTGATTGGTACCTACGGTGGTTGAAGTTGTAATCTTTGCAGTGATTTAGTGGATGGGCTATTACACGGACGTGGGCCCCGCAGAGTAGGAGAATTGCTCTGAACTGCGTAAACAATTCTTGTGTCTGTTTTACTGTTTTTTATTTCTCTTGCTGCGTGTGACTGGTTGTGACAGAGGGAGTGTTTTAGCACTTTGCTTATCACAGCAATCGGAGTGTGTGTGTGGTTGACGAGAATTGTTCACAGAGAGCACTTCCTCTTGTGACTAGAATCACTATAACATTTTCAATTGGTATCAGAGCAGTTAAGCTTAAGTTACTAGCTTGATCCATCATGGGGGACATGGAGGAAGGTGCAAATGTTCAACGACCACCACTGTTGTGTGGACCAAATTACAATTTTTGGAAGGGGCGCATGAGTGCTTTCTTAAAGTCCCAAGGTGGGAGAGTTTGGAGAAGCATAGAAACTGGATGGACAGAACCCACAGAGACCAACACAGAAGGAGAGAAGGTGGCAAAATCCTTTGAGAAATACTCAAAGGAAGAAGCAACACTGGCTGAATGCAATGATAAGGCACTAAATGCACTATTTGGGGCAGTTGATAGCTCACAGTATAGACTCATTTCGAATTGCACTGAAGCAAAGAAGGCCTGGGAGATCCTCGAAACCACTCACGAAGGAGATGAACGAGTAAAAACTGCTAAACTACAGATTCTTATGACCAAATATGAGAATTTGCGTATGGATGATAAAGAAAAAATAGCAGAATTTCATGGGAGAGTAAGAGAACTAGCAAATGAGGCTGAAAATCTGAAAAGGCCTTTCACAGAAGATAGTCTAGTGTTGAAGGTACTGAGAGCCTTACCCGAGAGCTATGCAATGGATGCCAAAGCTATTCGCCAAGCACATGACATAAAGAACATGACACTTGATCAGCTAATGGGTAATCTTGAGACCATTGAGCTTCAAATGAACGAAGAAATTAACTAGAAGAAGAGTGTCAAACAGATTGCATTCCACAGCCACAATACTGAAGAATATGATGATGATGAGGATCCATCAGATGGAGATTATCAAGAACAGTTATCCCTCATCACCAAGCAGTTCAAGAAGCAATGGATGCAAAAGAAAGGAAGAACAAATTATCAAGCTGAATCTTCAAAGGGGTTTCAATTTAGAAATCCAAGGTCAAAGGAGAGCAAGGCCCCAGCTGATGACTCCAAACGAAGAGGACCTCAATGCTTTTAATGTGGGGGGTTTGGGCATATACAATCAGAATGTGCAAATAATCTCAAAAAGAAACGGCAAGCTTTTGTGTCAACATGGAGCGATGAAGAAGATGACTCTGAAGAAGTCCGAGGGAACAGCAACTGTGCATTCAC